CTATTTAGAGGAATTCCCTTCTGCTCTTTAGAGATTTCCCACAGCTTTCTAGGTACTGTGTATTTCTTTCTAGGAATCCTCCATTGCTTCATAGCAATTCTTCCTTATTTCATAAGGAATTCTTTCCAGCTTTCTAGGATTTTGCAGCCAACTTTCTTGGAATTCACATTTTGCTTTCATGAAGTTCCCCCCACATGCAGATTTCTAGGAATTCAGTTCTGCTTTCTAAGAATATCCTGTAATTTTCTAGGAGTTCCCTGCAGCTTTCTTGGCATTTTGCATGGTTTTCTAGACATTTTCCATACCTTTCTAGGAATTTTCTGCTGCTATGAATCTCTCCTTGCTCTCTAGGCATTTCTATCAGCTTTCCCAGTATATGCTTGTGGCATAGTGTTAAGTGTTGCTCCATGCTGTTTGTGCCATTGCATGCTATGTCATGTTGTGGCATGCTCTATGCTACTCTGAGTTGCCCTGTGGTATTTTGTTTTGTCATATGCTGTGCTGCTACATCTTGTTCTCATCTGTTTGCTCATGTTGCGCCATGCCTTCCTGTGTTGTTGTGACATGCACCCATATGTCACCCTCTGCCTCTGCTGTCAGAGGTTATCAAGTGCCATCCCATGTTGCTGCAGGAATAAATATTTGAGAGTGAATGTTTTTAATTGCTCTTTGCAAAAGCCACTGGAAAGATTCAGGAGGTGAAAGTATCAGAAGTCTGCAACATCTGGTCCCTAGAGAGTGATGAAAAAAATCTATTAAGCCTGGTTGAAGCAGTTGTGCGATCCTGTGGCTGTTCCCTGTGCCAGGATGGTGCCACACCTCCTATTGCCCCCATACTACATCCATAGCTGCATATTGACATCTCAGATCAGTTTGCCTCATCAAACGTCTTGTTGCTGACAGCAGTTAGCACAGATGCTTCAGGGCATTAACAATCCCACAGGAGACATTTATAAAATAGCCACATCATAGAGGCAGTGGCTTCCTAATTCCCTTGAAAAGCGGGTTTATCCCTTTAAATACAGCTTTATGTCCCTTCTAAATGCAGATTGTCTCTTCATGTTCATTCCCTTCCAGTCTTATCTGATATAACTATATATCTAGATAAATAGGAAAATTGGATCTGCATTATTTTAGCTTGACACAGTATATACAGCATGAGTAACCTAAAATTGGGTTCAAATATTGCAGATGGAGCCAAAACCTTTAACTGATTTTGTAAGTAATCCTCTATTAGCTTATATAAGGGTTTCATTACAATTTATATTGCCAAAATGCGTAGTGGTACTTGTCTGTTTGACCAAATTTCCCTAGATAATAGTTTATTCATTATCAGCTAAGACTGAGAAAACAGGGTGGTGGGTTTTGTAATACTGACGCAGACTCTCAGAAATCCCTCGCTCATGTACAGAAACAGTCTTTGAACTTAATGGCACTCCCAGCATTCCTTCCAGTCTGGGGTTTGGATTTCCTCCTAAAATTAATGTACAGTAAGTCAGTAGACCATAGGAAACACTGTATATAAATGGTTCACCTTGCCCAATATTCTGCTCTTGATAGCAAAACCCAGCACAAAGCCTTCTCAGGCACCTCCCATCAAGTGTGAATGAATAGTTCCCAGAAATGTCGCTGGTTTCTTCTGGCAAACCCCTGATAACAGCCAGCTTGGTGCCAAAGCAAGCTCCTAACATCATGTTCCAGAGCCAGCAAATGAATACACCCCAGTTCCTTGCGCTGCACCTTCAGGGCTGTCACCACACATTATTTCCCACCTGCTCTACAACTACATTTTCCATTGAGCAGAAAAGCCATGACATATCCCACGCTTGCCTTTGCTCTCCTTGACTGCAGTTTGCGATCCAGGGTAGTGGAAAACCTGGTCCTGCAGTGCCACTTACTGGACTTTTATGTTAATGAAAGGAATGTGCAGCAGCTGTTTTTCTCAGTTGATTCCCAGTGCCAATTTGAAATGGTAAAAAACATAAAAAGCATTAATGTCCAATGTAAATATTATGAATACAGGAAGTTTTAAGAAAGCAAATACAGTAAAGCTGATTTCTTATATGAGGCAGTAATTGTAGAGGAACAGAAATCCTCTTTTTCTGGTCAGTGTAGGGAAGAATTTGCCTTGCAACAGTCTGAGAATTCTTCCAGCTGGGAACACACAGATGGTTAAATTCATCGTTCAATGTATGCAAAGGACTGAATGTACACCTGGAGTTTTGCAGGAGTCTTATTAATGTATTCCTTAGAAATAAGGCAACTGAAAAGAATGCTTCTACAGGAGCTGGGGTAGGGCTTATTTCATTAATCCAGTCACAGTCTCTGCACACATGCTTTCTGTATTAGTATTTCTATATTACCATTAGTACTTGCACTGTAATTTAACCACTAAGATACTACACTCTGCATGATCCTTACGAAAACACACTCCTGAGCTTACAAATGGGGCACTGACCAAGCTACATGTAATTTCTTGCATAAGACTGTCTGTGTAAGAGTATCTGGGGAGACCAGGACTTCTGAAGAACAAATCTGCAATATTCAGCTGTAGATCAGTATGCTCAAAGCCACCTTCTGGGGTCTGTCCCTCCTGATCTTCCAAGGCAGAGGGCTGGCTGGAGACCACAGCAGCCCCTCCAGCTCATTCACCTGACCTTCCTGCTCATGGAGGGCACTGATGGAATCAGTAACCAGGTTTCATTTCAGAATGGAAGCACGATTGGGCTAAAACATACACCTGGATCTGGGAGCTGGCACATCCTCTTGGATTCTGCAGTTTTTAATACATCTGAAAACGTCTTGGCATGAAAATTAGTGCAGAGAAACACATGTAGCCAGAGGTTAGGTATTCTTTGTGACTGCCCCCATTCACCCAGTTGCTTCCAGATTTGTTGCCTAGGAGCAACTGTTGGTTGGCCAGAGCCATATGAAGACTTTTCAGGATTCATGGAAAAAAAATCAGATTTGTTTCTCAGCGATGGGAGAAATGACTAGCCTAGTGAAAGAGAAGTTACGTAGCTGTTCAAAACCATCTGCACTGAGTACAGAGCAAATTATTAACTCAAGGAACGAATGAGTAGCTTTCCTTGTAGCTGCCCAGAGAAAGAATGTAGGTATTAATATATTTACATTAAAGACTCTGCAAGCAGAGTTTCTATTGTGGCGTGCAGAAAAGACCATGTGTGGTTTTAAAGGAGATTAGCAAGTTAGTCTCTTTGGCACACAAGAATTATTAGAGGCAGAAGACATCAGTCCTCAGAATGTACACCATATACCACAGAACCAGTTACACCCACTGCCAAATGATTTATTTCCATGCACAACATCCAGCTGTCTCCATTTGCTGAATGTCTTTCATACTCAGCCATTGCAATGTTTTTAGCAACAAGTGTGAGGGCTAGATACCATCAAAGATGTACCCAGTATTGGATCTGTGAGTAGTCACAGAGACTGGGATCGGCCTGATAAGATTAAAAAGAACTAAATAAACTAGCAGTAAAGTACATAAATTATGAACAAATTTTGGTGCACAAGAGAAATGCAGTGCAAAGGTATCAGTGCCAGCTTTCACTCTTTCATGATGGAATCTCACCTGGTATATTTGCACCTACAGCTGTCATCTAGGTATCTGTAAGACCTAAGTTGTGGAGCCTTGGGGGAATCAGATAGGTGGACATCTGAGATTTGATGTGTCTGTGTCAGAATGAAAGTTGAATCTTAACTTTTCACTGAAAATCATAAACTGGGTAGGGCAGCTAAAAGCTGAAAACCAAACTCAGAGTACACAGTTATATTTTTATGGAATAATAATTAAAAAAAAAGAAAAAAAAAATTTCACAGAAGTTGAGTTTTAACAGCAAAGATTTCACCAGTGAGTGTATCTCCATGAACATTTAATACCTGGGGAGAGTTCTGGATTTTTAATATAAAATTCCCATTTAGCATCCTGCAACGAGCAGTCAACAAGCAGGTCAGAGCTTGCCAGCCCCATATTCAAAGTGTTGAAGAGTAGGATTGCTCTGCACGCTGCCACCCCTTCAGGGATGAGACCTGTGGATAGAACAGCATTGTTACAAAGGGAATTTTAACAGAAGACCTTAGAGGAGCTGGGCTGAATTATAGATGGTAGTTGCAATCGGCCTCTGTTTGTCAGTATGTTATTCTGGTCACAAAAGAGCTAAACTAGCACTGCTTGCAAGCTGCAATTGGTATGCAGTACTACTGTAGTTGAACGCATGTCCCTCTATTCCCAAAACACTCAGCATCAGTTATGGGATAAGACCAGCTCCTGTGTTGCTGATTTATAATGCTATCAGATTTAATGTGCTGATTCTTGGTATGTGTGTTAGGAATCTAATTTATGCCTAGGTACACTGCGAAGCTGGGCTTGAGACAGAATAAAACAGTGCAATTGAGTATCCCTACAGTTTTTATTAAGTATCAAATGATTGCACATCACATCTCAATCAGAGAACCTATTAGATGCTATAAAGAGAAAATATGGATTGACCGTAATTTCTAAAAGGAAAGAAATGCCCTGAAATCCATTTTCAGCTTCCAAAAGAATCAAAGACACGTGTTTATCTGACATTTTTAAGGCACTTTACACAAAGTTTGCATAAACCAGAAGGGATTTCATAGGAATGCATTGTCTTATTTTTTTTTATTTTTTTTTTTAGGATTAGAACCTAAGGGGAAATTGTTTTTCTCAAGGTTCCTTCACTGTGATTTCCTACGAACATTTCCCCGCCGGTGGTTGTTTCCTGCAGTACGTATTAAAGCGGGAATGATGAGAAATCCTGCAGAAATCCCTCCCTGCTGCCCAGCTGCCTTTCTCTGAACCTGCTCTCGCTGTTGCTCATGGCCCACCTCTCCTCAGCATCGCTTTCCTGTTACCACTCCCGGTAATGCCTCCGGCAGCTTTGCTGTCATTAACTATAACGCAATTTCAGGCCCTGAGCCGCCTCCCCAGGGTCCAGGGGCGCCGCGGGCGTCTCCAGCAGTAGGTGGAGCGGCCGGAGGCAGTAGGAGGCGACCGGCAGCCCCGGCCCGGCTCCACCGGCACCGCCGCTCCCCGCTGACCGCCCGGCCCGGCCCGGCCCTGCCCCGCCGGGGCGGAGCGGAGAGGAGCGGGGCGGCCCAACCGCCTCCCTCGGCCGCTTGCCCGCGGTGCCGAGCAAGCCTCTTCCGGGCGAGGGGCAGCGCGGAGCCGGCAGCGTGTAGCGGTCGCGGTGAGTACAGGCACCGGGACCGGGCAGGGGCGTCCCCGCGGCTCGGGCTCCCCGAGGGGCTAGGCCGCGGGCTGGGAAGCGGGTGGAGGATCCTGCCCCGGTGCCTCCCCCAGTGCCACCCCGGTGCCCTCGGTAGGGGCCCAGCCCCGCACGTCACCCCGGTGCTTTCCCGCAGGCCCAGCCCCGTGTCCCCTCGTCCCTTCTTAGGGCTCCGGCCCCTTGTATCGCCCCATCCCCTCAGTGGGAGCAGAGCGGGTGTCCCAGCGGGTCCCCCCTCTCCCTCCACATTCAGCAACTTCCCTCTTTACCACCCGCTTCCAAAACCTCTCCCGGCCACGAGTGTGCCCTGAGCACGGGCCGTGAGCCGCAGGGTGCTGTGTGGCAACGGCACAGATCCCTTGCGTGCAGGAAGCAAACCTCCCTTGGTGGAGGATCCTCCTTTCCAGGGGAGGAACGGCAGATAATTTGGGGGTCAGACACCTGATAGCCAAAGGCAGGGATTTTAATGAGAAGTATTTATTTATTGAGTTATAAATAATTGATTGTCATTATAATGGGTATTGGGAGAACAGGGGGAGGGGGCAAAGGCTGGTTTTGTACCCATGTGCAGTTAAAAAATCACCTGCATGGTTTCTATCAGAAAAAGCTACATGAAACTGAAAAGCTGCAGAAGAGGCCATGAGCATGCCTGAGCAGAGCTCCTACTCCAGTTCGCCAGGGGATATTCAAAACTTAAGGAGCAGAGGCAGGCTTGCAGCAGTCAGGACTGAAATGAAACAAGAGCTTGCATTAACCCATTTTAGCAAAGAAGCGTCATTTCTCGTTAACGAAGAGACGAAGTGAACAGGTGACACGTCTCTGCGATCCACCTCGTGCAATGGGAGAAAAGGTGGGAAATGGAAAGCCAGCGCTGCTGAGCTGGGTGCAGCAGCCTCTAACATCTGGAGGGAGCTTTAATGTGGAAATGATGAAATCTCTCATCAAGTTACAGGGCAAAGATGGCTGCTTTGAGGAGAGAGCCCCAGCAGAAGGCTCCATCCATTTAACACAGACTCTGCTTTTGTTGCTAGGCTACAAGTGGGACGTACATTTATAAGCAAAAAAAAAAAAGAGAAGTATCTTATAGTGTAGCCATCATTTGCCTTCTCCAGCGTTCAGTTTGGTTTTATGATTGCAGGAGGAGAAATCAGAGTGGAAAGATAATAATCTTTGCAGGTATAAATAAATAGGTATTTACTTATAGAAGCTGCTTTGGGGAAGGAGAACTTGGCGAGTTGCTTTGTTAACATTTGGTGTAAGTACATTGCATCGTACTTCTCCCAGTCATCAGCTGTGCTCCTTCTTTCAAATGTGGTAACAAACATAGTGCAAATAGAGCAATACTGTTGCTTAATGACCCCAGTAAGTCTGATATGTGCTCTTTTGTTATCATGCAAAAATGCTTTCTCCCCCTAAAAATCTATTAGTGCTTCTCATCTGAACTAATTATACTGCCAGGATTGACATCCCTGCAGAATGCATTGGGTTCTTTGCCAGAGTAATTAAAATATGGGGGGTAGCTGGGTTTGCCTTTCTGCTGTTGCTTTGCCAATGTGTTGTAGTTTTAAGATAGAATAGACCACCTTTTACTAATCAGAGTGTAGTTAATTTTGTGTCTTTTCTCCTAAGCCAACACAGCAGCTGATAAAGTGACTACTGCTTGTGGAAAAGAAGAATCAGAGTTTGTTCAGGCAAAGGACCCCCAAAAAGGGTCAGTGTGTTATCTGAAGAATAAATAGGCCTAATGGGATGCCTAAGTATTTCTGTATCAAAGCAGGGTGGGAAATGCTTCTAAAGAACTCTGCTCTGCAAAAACAATCAAGCAACCCTGGGTTTTGGTTTATAAATGTGTTGGAGGAAGAAGAGAAGCTGTTCTTCCCCCATTTTATAGCAGCAGGTGTTTTTCTCAGCCTCAAGATTTTCCAGCCTGCATCTCTTGTTTCCCAGAATCGGGCACTGTTCTGGGATCCCAGGACGCCAGACTGTTAGGGGGCTGCTTTGAAGAGTGGAGATTAAGGGACCTAAGTGTGTCAAGTGGGGTTTTTTTTCTCTCTCCCAGTGAATCTGCACATGAAACATTTTCAGCAGCAACTGACTTCAACTTTTGAACTATTCCTGTTCTTTAGGATTCTGGTAAGCAAGAGGCACTGCTGTTACCTTCTATTTTTACTGGGTTTTCAGTGAAAAGCCTCATCTCATCTTTCAAAAAAGGAACTCTTAGCTGCCTCTGGGAGATTTTGTGAATCATGATCTGACCTGAGCGCCTTTGCATACATAAAGTTAAGGGTCTAAGTCCTGGTAAAGGACACTGCGCAAGTTACCCCTTCCTTTCAGCATTTGTGTTGGCTACACTGCTCACTCGCCCTCCTGTGTGCAGGCTGGTGTGAATTCTCTTTCAAGCTGGAGCACGCAGCATGTTCCATGCTTTGTAACAGAGGGTTGCAGGCTGCAGTTTGGGAGTTGGGCACCAAGAAGGGAAATGTTACGATGTTCGTTATCACAGTATTTCTGCACTGCTTTTGAACATAGGCTTCTCTGTTGACTCCCCCAGCTCAGTTTTTGCTGACCTTCTGGAATTGCATGCAAGAGAGGCAAAAGGCTGTTCTCATTAATGGAGTCCACTTCTGCAGTGCAGGAGGCTGCAGCCTGGGCTCCAGCCCCTATATAAGCAAAAAGCAACAGACAATTACGTACAAAGACTGAGGCAGTACTCTGTCTGGTACCCAATCTAAGGATGTTTGCTGAAGGATCCTCGCTCAGGAGAATTCAGGCCTTTTGTACCTGTTGAGGAAAGCCTGCTGCTGGGGTAGTTCTCACATGAGTTTTTAGCTTCGATACTGGAAAGAAACTGACAAAGTTTCTTAATTGTGAAGTGGATTGTTTCAAGACTTGGGTTAAAATACAAGGTGTCAGTAACAGAAGAAAATATAAATGATTCCAAGGAAGGTAGCAAAGTTGCTTTTCATCATTTATTCACTGCTGCATGAGTTTATGTTGCCCAGAATTTCCCAGATTATCTGCCCATCTGGGTTATTAAGGCATGCAACAGGGTTTAAAATAAATGATCAAATGTCTGAGTTGTTCAAAATTGAGTGGTATGTTGCTGTCTGAAATAAATTAAATATTCATTGCTGCTCTTTTGGCTATTGCTTTGGTTTGAAAAGTGGTTCTGTGACCTTCAATGTGATGTTTAATATGTGAACTTTGAAAAGGAACAGCAGAGTTGAACTCCTGACAACTCCTGAATCTGCATTTTGTAGAATTGTTGCAACTGTTGTTGTTAGCCTTTAAACAAGGTTTAAGGTCTCCTGGTATTGCTAGTTCTGTGGCCTTTTCTCCTGTTAATGTTAGGATTACACATTAGACCATGACCTGGCAGGCGATTCCATCTGATCAGAGAGGGCAAAAAATTTGGGTGTGCTTAGTACTAGGGCTTCCAGTTCAGTTCAGTGCCGCTTTCTGATTGAAAGTACAGGATGAAAAAGAAAGTCAAAGAATTATTAATTTAAAGTAAAGGTTTATTTTTTTAGGTTAGTAAAAAAATGGAGTTGAGAGGTTTTCTTAAGATGAAGACCTGAGTTTTCACTCTTTTCTTTTAGTGCTTTTTAGTTTCTTTTTATTTTCTGCTTACTAGGGCTGGGGGAGAGATGAGAAGGCAGGAGCAGGGATCTTTAGAGAGCATGGCAGAGGGGAGGCTGGCAGTGAAATTTGCTTTAAAGCCCTTGGGAAGTGCATTTTCACACTGTCTGGTAGGCCATCTCTATCACCACATCTAATTGCATCCAGTCCATAGAACCATGTCTTCGGCTCCACTTTTGGTGTCAAATACATGGCAAGACGTGGCTGTTTCTATAGCTTGACAGTCTTACGCTTACAAAAAAACTTTATAAACACACGATTGCAGCTATGACTCTGAAAATATGCCACAGTGTGAAACACATGGGTAACGAAACCTCTGTGTCAGTGCTGGGGAGCTAAACAGTGCCAAAGAGTGTTTGTTCCCAGTCACGGGAATGCAGTCCTCTGTACTGTGTACTTTCTGGAGCACAGCATGGAGCAGTTTTGCCCAGGACAGCTGATGCTCACCCAGACAATCCAGCAGCACAAGGGAGGATTTAGCTGCCATTCTCCGTGGGCAGTTTGGGTACAGCTACCCTACTTAGGAAACTGAAAGGGTTTAATAATATGAATGTGCCAGAGAGCATAGTCCATTATTACTGGTTTAATTTACTAGTGTGGACTGTTACCAACTTCAGGATTTATGGGTGCAAGTGGTTCTAGTAAATACCTTTCTAACTGACCTGTTGTTAGAAAAATCAAGAATGTTTATTATTTCCTTCCTTACTGCATATTTTCCATGATAGATGTTAACTGACTGCATTATGATGCTGTCATTTATCCTTTCCAGTACTGCTGATCCTCCCATGAGGAACATGACCACAAAGTGCCATTTCAGTATGAATTATTAGAGTAACTTGTGTTTGTACAATGACTGTTGTGTCCTGACTCCTCTGTTAATAGAGTCGTTTAAGGAAGAGCGTTGTTTTTTGGGTAATTTTGCTCCTAACCTTTCCACCTTAAAACTTAAGGTGCTGCAGATCCAAAGTTTTGTCCTATTTCACAGGGGGTCTCCACTCTGTTGGTACTTACTGAGTAGCAACAGATGCGGGAACAATAAATTTAGATGCTTCTAAGCAGTTGAGTGTCAGGCTGATGTTGAAGTTTGTATTCATTAGTGGACTGTAACAAAGCAAACATTTTTATCTTTGTTCTAGAGGATTTGTGCATTTACTTTCCAGTCCCTTTGCAAACTTTCTACTTATGTCAAGGTTCAGAGGGATTTACTTTAATTTGATTTAACCAAAATGTCCTTTATTTTTTCCTTACACAATTCTGTTATGGATATGTGCGTAACAACAACTTAAATCTTGGAATCTTGGGCATATTTAATGTATATGGAG